GTAAGGTCTGATTACCATTTAAAGTCCAGGAAGTTTTTTTTTATTTTTTTTAGGGGACCTTGAGAAAAGCACTTCCTGTAATTAAAAGGTTAAATCTGTGTTCCACAGTGTTTAAAAATAAGGCTAGTCTTATTAATTACAACTAAAGATGTACTAGAGTAAAAAGAAGTACAAAATACAGTAAATAATCCAACCCAAGAAATAAGTCAAGTCCAACCACATTAAACATAATTCAAGCATTTATTGTCTTTTTAAGTAAAGTACAAACACTAGCTTATTTGAATATAAACACCCCTATTTCAGGTTTGTATACTCATTAATAAATATAACACAGCATGCCATTAAAGCTATTTACTGCATTTTGTGTATAATTTGGTCTCTAAACATAAACACTTCTCAGGATAATGCAAAAAAAGTAATAGGAATTTAGCAGAGGTACTGTCTTTGGACATAAACAGAATGGCATACCTCTTCAAGTGCAGGAAGAAGCTCATGCTGATTATCTTTCTCTGACTCTCTGCAGATGCTGTTACAGACAACACGCTTCTCATCTCCTAAGAAAATAGGACATGAGAATTTTTTTTTTTAATTAGCCTTCAGACAGAAACAGCATTATAAAAATTTATTTAGCACAAAAAGAGCACAAAAAAAAACAGAAAAAAAACAGGAAGATGGACTGTAATAAAATGACAGATAAACAATTTACTTTTCGAAAGTTTCACATTTTGAAACAATGAATTTAGGCATCTTTAGCCACCCATCTTGGTTTGCTTAAATAGCTCTGTATTGGACCTGGGATTTATTTGATCTTATATGATAGATTATGTTTTGAAATATATTCATAATTCATGAGATAAGACTATTAATGTTCAATCACCCAAAGAACTGATAGCAGTGAGTCAGACTTCAATCGTTTTCCAAGAGCACAAATAAAGCAACAAACCTTGCAATTATTCTTTAACAGAACCCGTCAGAAGATATATACTGTATTGACCAGTAAGTATTTTAGACTATTTTTAGAATGTTTGTTGCTTGAAAAGGACATTAAACTGGGGAACATAGAAATATTAATAATTAATGATTGGAGACAAACTGAAATCCCTCGGATAAATACTCAAACTACATATTTGCTAAATAAGTACCAGATTACAACATTATTTTCTAAAAACTGGAATAGAACCCCAACAGCTCAGACTGTAATGAAGTTCTGATTCCAGTTTAGCAATAAATTATAGCTGTGTTCAGCAAGCAGTGATTAGAAAGTCAGCCTTTTAACTAGAGTTGTGCCGATGCCATTTATTGGCCCCGATACCGATACCCGATACCTGGCTGTGCAGGATTGGCCGATACCGATACCATCTGTTCGAAGTTGATGTGTGTGTGTATATATAAAGAACTGCATACTATTTGGATGTAAAATAGTTGCCATCATGGCTTTGTCAAGCTGCTGCCTACCTTTGTGAAGCAGAAAAAAAATAGACTAAAGCAAAGTGAATCCAGTAGAACTTTTTATTGCCTACCCGGAAAGGGTGACAATAATCTAATAAACTTTTGGCTATCAAAATGGTATTTGTGCCGTATTTGTTTGTACTTGCCGATACCATCATTTTAGTGCAGCATCGGGCCCTTGCCCGATACTGGTATTGATGCAACACTAGCTTTAACACACAATGATTAAGAGAGAGTAGGATTTTATTAGCTAAAATTATCAAAATAAAAGGCTTTACAAATAAGCAGCCTCTAAAGAAGGCAGCATAATAACATTTATTATCCAAACCAATTTTCTATCATGCCTTTTTTTTTCTTTTTTTAAAGCCTCATAAATTCTACATATTTTTCTAAGATTACCACCCAAACTGTTGCTTTTAATATAAAAAGAACAAGTTTGATGAAAACAAGCTGAAAGACTGTCTTCTAGGAGGACTTTGCTCTAAAAGTCCCTATTGTTTAATTTCTCTACCTGATCACCAGGTCAGTCTAAAGCCATATTTACACTACCCTCTAAAAACCGATCCGTGCCGAGCTTGGTTCAGTTAACATGTCCCGAGCTGTGCTCCTTAAGACCATTTAAACACCGCACTTGCCTCCGAGTGATTCAGGAAGTTTGCGGAGAGTCAGGCAAAGAAGGCAGCCTTTGTTTAGTTTACTTGACAGTCGGCTTTAGGAATTGGATACGAAAAACGATAATCTAATCAGGGCTTACAGACGCAGGAAGCAACAACAGGAAATGAGGCTCCTCACAATGCTAAGCAGAATCATCACTGGAAATCTTGTGGAACGGTAGGGAAGCTAGTGTTTTTATGAATGTCATAAAGTTCATGATTACGTGGGCTGACTGTAAGGAGATCATGCAGTCTGCTCATACGCTCTTTGTTATCAGAGAACCGTGCCACAACTGAACGGCGCCAAGCCCTACTGATGAACTAGTACCATGTTAGCATGGTTTGGTTGTGTCTTGCGCGGTCCGGTTTAGTTTTGCGTCCCATTTACACTCAATAGTTACCCCGGTTACCGTGCTCGGACTGATCTCGGCACGGTTTCAAAAGGGTAGTGTAAATGGGGCTTAAGAAAAAGCTCAGTGGAGGAAACTAACAAAGTGCATTTACTTGATTACTGTACTTTGAATGTATAATAGAGGATGTTCTTTTCCCTGGTGGATCATCAAAATAAGTGATTATTAGTTATTATTAGTAATAGTTACATTAATCTGTTTCACTATAAGTAGAGCTATATGATGACCTCTGAACCCTGAGAATACAAATTTACTTACATTGAAAATCAAGCAAAAAGTAGAATCTGTATCCTAAAGATATGCTCTTATTATGAAACAACAGTTTTTACCATTTCTTCAGAAGTGATACACTTTTATCAAATGAGCTAATCAGGCTGCAAAGGCAATAAATTATTAAAATCATTACTTAATTATTTTTGAAAAAGTGTGTATCACTTTCCTCTTCATCTCTGCTCTATTGCTATGATGAAGTCGAAATACGAGCTAAACGCTGTGGCACACTGGAGGGAAACATTCGATGCAGAAAACAACCAAAATGGATGCACAAAGCAAATGTGAAACAAAATAGACAACTTTGATGTGATGCTTCTCACCTTTTTCATCGTTATTAGTGTTGGTATTGTTAAGTTTTTTCTTTTTTGTCTCCTGGGAACGGATCTCATCTTTTTCAATCAGATAGGTGACCAGGATCGTCTCCAAAAGGCTCACCAACATCAGAGCAAAAATCACGATGCAATAGGTTGCTAAAAAGGGGAGAAAACTGATTAGATGAAAATGTTTTTTTTTGTTTAAGAAGTTATATTGTTGTGTAATAGACAGTTTGTACCTATCAGTGGAGTCTTGTTGGACATGGCCGGCAGGATTTCATTGAGGATGAGGAGGAGGACAGAGATGGCTAACAGAACTGTTACTTTAAAGCCTAGCTTCTCCCCACGATGGTCCGAGATAAAAAAGGAGGCGAAATCCAGAATAAGAAAGAATAGGATGGGCAATAAGAAATTTATGACATGGAGGAGGGGCCTTCTCTTTATGGTGACCTGAGGAAAAAGATAAAGGGTTTAAAGGAAAAACAAATGCAACATGACTATTTGATCACTATGATTGCTATGGATAGAGTAAACAAAGGAATTGGCATTTTATTGTGTTATTTTTAGACAAATCTTTTTTAATGGATTCAAATTACGTCTAAACTTTCATTAGTATTTTGACTCAGATTAATGTACATAAAGCAACCTAGGTTGGAGCAATCCTATGAACTTATTTTTTATTACATTTTAAAGGTATTGAGGATGATCTTTTATTTTTCGGGTGGATCTTTTAAATAAGTGGTCCTCCTAATTGTCAATCATTCCTGCGATATGTTTACGTTACGCTGTGTTACGCGTTCATCCCGCTATCTTTTTCTGCGTATGCACACTTTCAGCCATACATCTGTGGTAAGCTATGGTTTCAGACAGTCATTGAAGCTCACCTTTCTCACCACAGTTCTTTGAAAATGGCCCAGGGTCGTAAGAGACAAAGTGTCTACCTAGTGTATGAAAAGAAAAGAAAGGCCTCAGAAGAGACAAATATGTCCCAGAATGCTTAGTGCTGGGAATTGCTGTCACAGCAGCCCAAAATCGCTATAGTCTGTCGCTACCCGACTAATAACAAAGATGACGCAGCCAGTCTGCAGTGGAGGAGCAGCAAAAAGCAGTGATCATCTGTCAGTTCGGTCAGTTAACTGAGTTTGCTATAAAGTCCACTATATAGTCTGTATGTGGACACAGTAAGCTTGTATGAGCTATGAAAGCAGCACATGTTAAACAGGACATGCGCAAGGACAAATGGGCTTCTGAATGCCCTGTGCATGTCTTTAAAAAAAATCCTCCACAATATCTTTAAGAAAAAGAGTGATCTGAAAGTGGAAAATAATTTTGAAAGTAAAATAAGTATATTGGAGAGAACAACTTTTCACACAAATAACAAAATCAGATGTTATTTGAGACTAAAGAAAACATTTTTCAGAGAAATTAGACATTTGGAAAATTACTTCCAGGGGAAAAAAAAAACTCTAAAAATATATTTTTACTCTCACATTTGCAATCAGAGTGAAAAAAATGTCTCTCAAGCACAGATTTCTCTCTCAAAGTGTTTTTATTCTTCCTCTCAAATACCAAGTCTTTGCATTTGATTCAGGTTTTTTCTCTCGATGTGAAAAATGTGTCAAGGGCAGGCCTGTGTTCCTATTGGCCAGACTCAACAGTAACTAAAACAATGTTTTTATCTTCTTCACCTCCTCTTAGAAGTATTAATCAGTGGCCTTTTATTGGTTTTTTAATCATCATGAAAGCTTTTGAAGCACTCAATGTGGCCCTTCAAGGGGGCTGTTCAAAGAGGGGGTCCATGAGGACATAAAAGTTTTCTTAATAAATCTTTAGAACTTCCTCCCTGAAATAAAGCCTGTTTAATCAATGTGATCAATGTCTGGAGAAAGGTCCTTAAAATGATGTCTGCATATAAAATCAAATGTATAACTTTTTGCTAATTCAAGGTTTTAAACAACAAATATTACAAGATAAAAATGGGAGACATTAATGACTGAAAATGTAGTATTTTGCATTAAATACAGATTTTAAAGCTCTTAAGCTTTTTAGACATCCTGCTTGCAGAGCATTCTTTCTATTCATTGTCTTTCTTTACATAGTTGTTTTTGCTGGTGTCATGTACGTGTTACATACTGTGTATGTCAGCACATCCCAGCTCCTGTTTTCATGAGTATGAGTGGAGTTGCTGACAGTCAGATGAAGGAACTCCCACTCTCCTTGGGTCTTCATGATCTCCTGTGAAAACTCAGTGACCCGAGAGGAGTTTGAATAGGGAATAATTCGCATTTCGTTTACTGTGTGCAGGGAAATCCGGAAATAGAACACTAAGTGAAAGGCAATACAAAAAAATATAAAGATGTCATATGATTGAAGGAAACCTACTGCAGTATACTCCAGAACCGAGGGATATGTTGCATTGTTGAGTGTCAAAGGGGAACTTGTAGACGTCCATCTTGCAGGTGCTAACCACGCGGATGTCATCGCCAGCAATGACCGTTCCGTCAAAATTCACAACTACATTTGGATTTCCTGGGGAGTTGTCCTTCTCTATCCTGGAAATATTTGAAAGACAACCACACACATGCAGGACATTTCTTTTAACAGCCTGACTTTACATGGTTTTCAAACCTGTAATAAAGTGAAGCTTTCTGCTTTCAAAGCTGAAAGATAAACGTGTTTACTTGTCATTACACTGTAAACACCTGTGTGTACTTTAATAAAAATGAGAGCATAAAAGTAAATCATACTGTAAATATTATCATCAAACAGAGGACATGATTATGAGCAATAAAGAAAGCATGACTTGTTTTGTCTCAATCTGTTGCATGTGTTGATGTTTTTAGTTTTTGTCTTATCCTGTGTTCTTTTTTTGCGAAAATTTGCGATAATTTGCGCAAATCCTCCTCTACACCTTTAAGTTATGCTGAATCCGCTTCCGATTTCACATGAAGACTTTGTGAAAAGGTGTTTCATTTATATTAATAAACGATATTGTTAACTTAAGTGGGGATTTAAAATGTTACAGCCATATGTACTGCCTTGAATTTTGTTATACCTTTAACATTTCGTCAGATTTTAACCAAAAAACCTTTAAGCTCGGATTTTATATGACAAGCACAAAAACACTACACTGAAAAAAAAAAAAAAAACTAGAAGAAGAAATAGAAGCAAAATGTTTTGGTGTCAATATAATTGTATTTAGTGAAAACCCTATAAAGCCACCTTTTATTTCAACTAGACCTCTACATCTAAGTGCATGTCTATACCAACTTTGCAAATTGTTTTACTTTTCATAAAAGCTAAAGGTTGGATGGAAGAAAGTGAACATTATTTTTTATGCATTGACAAAGATTTGCAGTTGAGCCATTGTACCGGTAACACATTAATATGCTTTTAGGGACAGTATTCTGCTGGAAGATAGCTATTCACCAGAGCCTTTTGCAGCTGTAACCGATATCCATCATCCCATAAACTCCCCACAACATGAAGCTACCAACACTGATATTTCACTATTGGGATGGTTTTCACTGAAGAGGAATTTGTTGTGTTTTGGCTGGAGTTTTATTGTTTTCTGAACTGATCACACAATCTTTCTCTAGTTTTTGTCTGTTTCTTTCCAACATGCCTTGTTACAAACTAAAACTTTTTTTTTTCTTTTACTTTCTATCATATTAGTTTTCTTGTTGCCTTGGGCCTCTTGGCTGTTTCTATGATTAATGCTACCCTCTCATTAATCACCAATTAACCACCAATTTAGGAGGATGATCACATCTTGGTAGGTTTCCAGTTGTCACTCTTTCCATTTCTAGCAGAAAGATTTAATGGAAACCTAACCCTCTTTTTAAACTTTATAATTTTGGCCTGTCTGCTGTTTTCCTGGGTCCTAACAATGCTTCTTATTTTTTAAATTAGCTCTGTGAAAGCCTAGAAGCATCTGTAGCTGTACTGAGACTTGAGTACAAAATAGATTGCTTTTTACTAGTTGGGTGACATTTGTAGGAAATTGGTGCCACTAAATGTTAATTTAGAGTACCCAATTAGCAAGGTGAAGGGGGTTAGAATCATTAGTACATAATACTTATTATATTTGTAATTGTAAAAAGATGTGAGCCAAGAACAGTTGTTCTTATACTCTACATTATGCATTTGTTTTTGTTGGTCCTAACACGAAACCCTAATAAAAGGCATCTTGTTGTGTTTTTCTACTTGTTTTAGTTTTATCATATGTGCTTAATGTCATATGCAGGCTTACATCTCATAGATGAAGAGATCTGGTTTCCAGAGCAGGTCTCTAGGAACTGAAGTCTGAGTGATTCCACAAAACTGAGCTGGATCCCATGAGATGAGTTCATTCTTCCACTGCTGCAGTGCAATAATGTCAAAATGAATTATCAAAAAAATTAACTAACCAAACAGATCATTTGAAGTTTGATAGCATTATTTTACAACTTATGTGTATGAAAACTGTCCAAATCAGAGCTTTGACTGACCATTGATCCCCAGATGAAAGGAACAAAGGTTTGTGTTTTTTCAACCTGAGGATTAAGACGTAGAAAGTTAAAGCCTCCTATTGATACTTTACACATCATGTAAGCAATAATGTAGTCTGTACCACTGCCAGGATGGCATAGACGATAAGGTCCAGCTTCACCACAGTGATGTGTGTGTGGTCCAGAACGGGCCGGGTTATTTTAAACAAGCTGCTGTCTGCGGTCAGGTTCAGGTAGTCCAGAACATCCTGATAACTGCACACTTTACAGAACCCGCCATCTATGGGTGTAAACAAAAAAATCCTGTTAGATTTCATCATGAAAATATCAAGACCAATAGAAAATTATCATCTGGTGACGTCACGCTACATGGCTGCAGGTTTTTCTTGTCTTTTGGTGTTATATTTGAAACTTAAAGTAATATGCATGTATTTTTTAATGCAGTTTTGTTAGCAGGGAAAATGAATAGTTTGTAAAATGTTTTAAATGCTACACTCCTGGAATAAGGCAAATTATATAATTGTAGATTTGTGAAAAAATCTGTTTGTGATTTAGAAAAATCTTCATTTAAGTACAATGACGTTTTGCTATATTTTTTCAAACAATGTTAGTTCAGAGAAACTTTTTTTTTTATAAAATATTCAAATTGAAAATAAAACAGATTTTATATTTGCACACTTAAAATTTGTGTGTCTATTCAACTGTTTTAGCTTTGAATTGATAATTATTTTTTCTCTCTGTTATTTTGCTTTTTTTTTTTTTACATATAGTTAAAAATGTTTAAAAAAGGGGTTAAGCTTTAAGCTGAGATGTTTTAATACTATATTGTATATGTAGATAAAAAAAATTACTGATACAAAAATATTGCTCGTATTTTGTTTTATCAATTATTTTTTTCTCGTAAATTCTACATACAGTATATATATATATATATATATATATATATATATATATATATATATATATATATATATATATATATATATATATATATATATTTAAAATAAAAAAGTGTACAACTCATCTTTCTACAGATAATTTTTCCCCAAAAATTCCCAGGGACCTTTTAAAAAATGACAGTGTCTGATATTAAAGTTACGTTTTTTTAAGCTAAAATTTTATACACCATCTTATACAAAATACACGATTTTTGTTATTTTTTTTATTTTTTTATTTTTTTTCAGTTTTTACTCTTCCTTATGTTTTTATTATATTGATTTTTGTTGCTGTTTTAAGTGTTTTTTTTTCACGTCTCTCTTTTATAGCTTTATTTAGAAAAACAAAGGCAACAGCAATGATGTATAAATATAGTTTAGTAAAAGGATGGTTGACATGTTTTCCCTTTGATTATATTTTTGTTCATTTTTTTATACCATTAATGATTATATAATATTTTTCAGTTATTTTAAGATAGTAATTCAGATATATGGGCAAATATAAATACATCCATTGCATCAATGCACAAAACCAGTAACAATACTTATCTGAACAGGAGTGAATAACAAGTAAATAACTTTTATAAAACCCCTCCTTAATACATTTTATCATCATTATTTTGTGAGTTTTTCATTTGTTTGTGTTTTTCTATAGTTAACAGTTGTTTACTATAAATAAAGCTGAATACATAAATTTTTTAACAAAAGAAATAACGTGGTTTTACATTTTTATTTATATTCTAATAAATAAATCAAATCATTTAATGCATCAATCTTTTCTCAAGAAATGAAAACAAGTACATATTCTGTGCCATTGTTTTATTATATAAAACAAATGTTTTCACCTGTTATTATATGGAACTATTTTTAAAGATCAATTCTCTATTTTGTGTTGTTTGTTTCCTATTTCCTTTTTTTTTCTTTGTTTGCAATTTTTTATTTACTTTTCAACCACCTATGTAAACACTTTGATACAGTTTTCTTGAAAAATCCGACAATTCTAGATATTCTAAAAAAACAAAAAGCTTACATTTAAGAGGTACCAACAGGAAAAATAAAAAATTAAAAAATTTGCATAGAATCTAATCTAGTTTTAACTTGTCTAATTTTACCAGATCATGGGATTATTTCTGCATTTCTTTCCTTTTTTTATTTGTTTTTGATCAAATCACACAGGGCTTCAAGGTTTCTGATGAACTTATTTCATACGTACAAGGAACTCAAGCTTTGTCCAAACCATATTACGAATTTTTCCAGCTATTACCAGTAATAGTTGTTTGGCTCAATAGCATCAATTTGTCTAATGTCAAATTGCCTACAGAAGAACATTTAGCAAAAAAGTAATTAAAAAAAATTCAATGGCTCACACAGGTATAGAGCTATATGCAATTAACATGAAATAATTTTATTAGTTGAAGGAATGAAACTTACTTGTCAGGATGAGCACCAGCAGGAGAAAGGTAGTACAGGTCATCTCCGCAGCTTTTTGTATGTCTCTGCTGTTCAGGCTGGGGGTCTTTTATTCTTTAGCCTCAGGCTGCTTCCAGAAAACAATTCCCAGACTGTCTGAATTGGAAAAAAACTCTGAGGTAGACATGTATAAAACATAATTAGCTTACAGAGGGATGAGACGTACAGTATATCCCATATATCATGTTTAACTTGGATCTTGCTGACAGCCAATGTTGGGTATGATGGTTTTGGGTGGAAAGTAAGAAAAATCCAAACTCAGTAAAGGCAAGTCAGGGACATTTATCTGCTTAGAGGCAGAGATAATGTGATTTCACTGCTTCTTGTCACTGAGAAGAATATGGACTCTGCATGATTACGGGACATATGAGGTCATGGATAGACAGTAGCCCAAAAAAAAGGAGGGGAAATTTAATAAGAATAGAAATTGGTGACTGAGGCATTATGGTAACCAGATTATGAACACTCTCCCCAATTAGACCCACTAATGTCACTATCGTCGTCTGCCAGCCTCACGATATTAAAAACTTGTTTCAACACACCATATCTCTCATGGTCCTGGACTCCTCTGTGAGTTTATTAATATATCTCCTGGCGTGCTACATATTTACTTAAAAAATATATTATGAAGGTGCTCAGAAAGTGTAAATATTATCAAAGATCCATTTGTGTCAGTAATTTGTATTAAATGTGACATTAGTAAATAGATTCTTTACACAAATGATTAATTTCTACGGATGTTGATGATAACAGTTTATGGTTTAAGACAAACAGAAATCCTCCTTTTTTAATTCAGTGCAACGTAGCATGGAGGCTTACAACCTGTGCCTCTGTCAAAGCAACACTTGTGTCATCAGTCTCTACCAAATGTTTCCTTCTGCATCATTTTCCCTTTACATCCTTGGGAGCAATAGTGTGTGATGAATCAGCTTCTTTAGTAATTAGCTTTTTGTGGTTTATTCTCCTTGTCATTGTGGTTGTCATCCTCGATCTGATTTCTTAGAGCAATCACAGAATGGTTACACCGAGTGCTCCATGGTCATACGCAGGAAGACTAAAGCATTTTTTTAATAAATGCCAAAAGTTTAATTAAAAGATAAGTTAATTTTAACTTAATTTATTTATTCTTTCTGTGCTAAGACTGATTAGTACGTCTCTTACCAGACAGCTATTATGCAGCCAATGTTGCCAATTTAGTGACTTTTGTTTCTATATTCACCAACTTTTGTGGTAAATTATTTAAGCCATTAAAAGAAAAACTAGCAACTTTTTTTGTGCTGTTGGAAATTTTTACAGAAAGCATCATTTGCTCTGAAGCTTCTGGCTTCAGGTTAAAGCTGAGCAGCCTGCTGTGTGCAGAAAAACACTGATAGGCCTCCAGATGGAGACATTGCAGTTTTTTTATATCCTTATAATGATGGAGCCCATTATGCAGCTGTGGGAGCTTTGACAGCCTTTCTTGGGTTCAATCTGAAAATCTCAAAGTGTAGCTCCTACATCCTGCTTCTAGTTAAGGGGACTATCAGCAAAAGGGGCGCTAGACTGCTGTGCTGAATCTGGACAGCTGTTTCATTACATGCCGCACAATGGCGTAAATATCGGTAAGCAGAGACTGCAGTTGCTTAGGGGCCCCTGACCTCTTAGGGGCCCCGTCAATGACACCTGGTAGGCCCCCTGTACAACTGTGCACTAGGACGTCTCTTTGCAGATGTAATGGTGCAAAAAATTCCTCTTAAACCCACCTGATACTAGGATGATCGATCAGACCTTATTTATACCCCAACACATGCATGTTGTACTTCATATGGAGCCCATCCAGATAATGTTGCTTACGGGCTTATTGGTGTGTCGTTACGCCATTGATGCTCCACACAGACGAATGATGCTGGTAAAATGGGACTACAGCCTTCCATAAAAGAACTACAAAAACACAAAGTTACAAAATTGTATTAAACAGCTCTCTGTTATAGAAAAAAAAACATATGAAGATGTGTACTGTACATTTGCACATATCAGAGTACAGGTCACAGGTGCCTGGACGTCATGTCATACAAAGGATTGTGGGCAACTGTATAGCTCTTAGTGACGGGTAAGGAGGTCGCTAAGCTTGTCACTACCCAATCTATACTGCAACCAACAATCTGTACCATTAGTTCATTTGCGCATGTGCAACCAGTTCTACGTCCAAGTCACCCTCGATTTTACTTTGTAGAAAAAAACATTTAAAATAAAAAAAAATGTTAGAACTGTAATTTTACAGTCATTTTTATTATTTTTCAAGGCTGCACTTTTAAAAGATGAAATTGTCCAGTGAGCTGTTTCCAAATGAAATTTCTTTTTGTTTTACACTTATGTAAATAAAATGACAAATAAAATGTGTCTAAAGTCTCTAAATTCTAAGAAAATACCTAAATTACATTTCTTCCTCCCTAAAAGTAGAAAGTGTACTAAACTAAGTGTAGTCCTGTTTCTCTGACTGTGACTGGCGGGATGTGCTCTCTTCATCCTCTGACATGGGAGCTGGCTAGGAGCTTGTCTGCCTGGCTGTGTGTTTCCTGGACGGGGCCGCCTTTTGCAGTTGCTTTTTGTGTCTCTGCTTCTGTCTCCTTGAAGCCCAGTTGGCCTCGGCAGATGGCTGCTCACACTGAGCCTGGTTCTGCTGGAGGTTTCTTCCTGTTAAAATGGAGTTTTTCCTCTTCACTGTCGCTACAAGCATGCTTAGTGTGAGGGATTGCATAGGAGTCAATGAGTCGATGCAATCAACTGGTTTTCCTTAGATAGAAAACTTTGAATCAATTTTACTGTATGATCTGATGAACTGTAAAGTGCCTTGAGATGACATGTGTTGTGAATTAGCGCTATATAAATAAACTGGATTGAATTAAACTATAATGCATTAAAGGTAAAAAATTTATTTTCCTGAGAAAATAAATGCATTAAAACGCTACTTCCGGGAGCTAACTTTTTTGGCTTTGGATTTAACCATAAATCTAGTCTTTTTGGGTTTTATGTTTTCCTTTCATGCTAACCTTAAGGTATACAGTATGTAACCTAAAGAAATAAACAACTAAAATGCAGATAAACATGGTTTAATCATACAACTATTGTGAGTATGTTCGATGAAGACATCACAAAAGCAGTTTAACGAAGAAAATGTAAAAAGAGTCAAATTGTCTCAGAAAAGTCATACAATTATTACACATTTTTAGAGATCCAGTGTAGCTTTATTTATTGATTTAAAGATAAAAATAAGTACTTTTATTACCATGATTATATAATTTATGGCGACCTGAATGAATATCTGAACATGTACAAGTGGTAGGATAGTAGGGATCATGCTTCCGGTACGGATCGAGTAGTGGCAATACTTGCCACATCTGTGCTAGGAAGCATCCTGCTTCCTGGGTCCGAGCTCCTTCCTTACTGCAGGCACTATTCAGACAGCACTTATTACAGCAACCACTTCCTCTGTGGGTTAAATATCTTTACCAATTCTAGGTATTTAGATCTACCTTCATGGCATGCACATCTGGGCCAGACCAGCTCTGAGTCAGTGGGCAGAATGGATTTTCTGAGCAAGATAAGTTCTCTACTTCTCACTCCTTCAAGACTATGTTCACAGAGTCAAGTACACACGACCCATTACCTTCTCATGATTGAAATTTATTCCTCTGTCCAACACTTCTACACCTACTAAAATGTCTATACTAAACTGCTACAATGGTATACAGTTAATGTCTCCATCCAGTTGTTTTTTTTGTTATTGCAGTGCAGTGCAGATTATCTGTGCATTTGTAAATGGCCTAATTTTTCTTTAAACAACATTTATTTTAGTTGCAAAGTACTGCTATGAACAAAATATGTCATATTAATACTGTTTATAAAATGTGTACACCTATATAAGTAAAATAACTACAAATAGTATTCAAACTATACATTAAAAACCGTTGTGTCTCCATTGCAAACTATTTCTGCAGCAAAGTAGACTTCCAGAATTTTCCAATGTTATGGTGGCTCTTGAGGTGCTACCCAGGAAAAGAGATTGAGAATCACTGTCATGATCATGACATTTCTGTATCAGAGATCTTCTTCATTGACTTATGTCATATCTGCACCAAGTATCTCTTGTTAATGTGTGGGTAGATGCTTGTGGGAAGTGAGTGAGACCTGTGGTTTTACAGATTGGCTTAAGTGGAGACAGAGAAATGAAGCTGTACCTTAATGCTTCTAATTTATTTATTTATTTCTTAAACTAGACATACTGGCATCAGTCCCCCCCCCACCCCCTAAATACAGTTAAGGAATATTTTCTCTGCTTAATTGTTTAAAAAACTTTCACAATTTTGTTCTATATAAAAGGGTTGGAGCTCTTTACGGTCCCTGCAAGTGAAAAAAGCCTTAATGAGCAAATTGTTTCCATAGCTCCTATCTTTTTAGTAACAGCTAAAACATGAAAATGTGAATTATTGCACCTGGTTTGATACATTGATTAACGTCTTTCAGAGCAAAGAAAATTATAGAATTAAAAAGATGTAAATAGGATAGCAAGTGCCAAATTTCACATTTTTGAGTCTCATCCATACAATTTGTCTCCGGATAACTAAATCCTCTATTTAATAAAAAGACTGACACAGCCTAGATTACAGTTGTGAATTTAGTGTAGACCATTAGTTTTACGTTTTTTTTTTTTTTTTTTGAGTGGAATGGTGATTTGTTTTACATGAAGGTTTTCGATGTCACCACTGGTTCTAGAACAGCTCAACATTAGAAGGGCAGCAGTTGATATTATGTATACACATGTTGATTTTATGTATACACATGCATATTTTATATTTATTTTAGTTATTTTATCTTTTTTGTGCAACACTTTGAAAACCTTGTGTTTATTGAAATCGTGCTATATAAATAAAGTGGACTGGATTGGATTGTGTCCTGGATATGTCTGTGGGCGGTTTCTTTCAAAACAACTCTTGGTTCAGTTCAAGCCTTCAAACCTTCACCAAATCTTTCTCAATGCTGTGCTTATCATTGTAGCTTATGCACATTTTTGCACTGGTTTTTTTCCCCTTTCACTCAATTTTCCATTAAAACAGTGTATACAGTGTCAATGAAGAGCCAGCATTGTCCGTCTGCATAACAATGACACCAATCATATTCTCAATAAGTTAGCAGACATTTTGTGGGCTGTAACATCATATTTTAATAACCGTTATAAAATCTAGCGTAGTCTCAAATAAACCCTAAAAATCAACTAAAATAAACAATATATACCAATATGTGTGTAATGAGCGTTTAAAATGCATGCTTTCCCTTTTTAGAAACAATTTACTGATGAACTTTAATGTTCAAGTTATTGACATACACTTCTATGTGCAGGGAGAGTATCAATAACTGACATTTTAGTCAAACAAAACTTACAGGAAAATAAATGACTCCAGTTCTTTAGTTGTAAAATCTTTATTGTTTGAATGTCTTTTTCATGTTCACTCTAGAAAAGTTGGGTTTTGTGATTTTCACTTTAATTTCATACTGAGATTGGTGCCAGAAAGCAGCGGTCTGCACTTTCAGACTGTGACCACATGACTGTTTGCAGCTCGGTTATAGTAGTGCAGAAGTCTTGACCTGAGCAGGCCAATAGAAATAGGGCGCCTACAATTGAAATATAACATTACAGAGAGACATGGTACCGCTTCAGAGTTGTGCAGTGGTCCATTATCAAGTCTACAGGAGGGTGCAGGCTGACCTAGACTAACATGCTTTACTTCTATCATCACCTCATGCACCAGAAAGTGTGTCATCTAGGAGTCAGCTAGTAGTGCATTAATTGCAGAAATTGATCCTCTTTTTATCCATTAAGTTTGCATGATTATGTAAACCTTTTTTACGAAATTTTCACATATTTCATCCACATTCTAAGAAACAGCACAGTGTTCTGAAACAAAACAAATGATTAGCGTCGACAACAGGTGAGATGTACATCGAAGTTTTTTTTACAAAACTAAAAACAACTGAAGAGGTTCAAAAACGAGAGGAGGCTGCTGGATCAGGACGGTTCATGGGGGGAGGGGGGGGGTCCTTGCTACATCATAGGAGGTTTTCTGTTCAAAATGGCAACAACAAAGCTTAAATACATAGAACATACTGGAAGGTTTGAAGTGTATTAGGACAGTGCAAACACATTTCGGTCTTAGAATTAGTGCAGGAGGTGAAAAGATGAAGGTGCAGGGTTGATTTATTGCTTGGACGTACGTGCTGCTGCACTGGGTTAATACTGACATGCCATAACAGAGCTGCAGAAGGAGAGAATGGGATGGAAGGTTGTGTGCGCCGAAATTAGGGTTTGATTCCAGCTTCAGTGAAGATTATATGGTGTCGCTTATATTCCCTTTTTTTCCCCCCCAACTCCACTCTTGTTGTCCTACATTCCACATTTCTTTCCTTTCCAGGTCATTTTGGCCGCCGCTTCTTGGCTCATCTGTCGAAAAAGTCCGACTGCCTTTAAATTTACATTCAGGAGTTTCAAAGCATGACGGAAACGGAGAGAAAAGGTGAAAAAGCTGCATGCAAAGGTCGAGAGTGTAGCTCCCTGATCCGAAGAAAGGGGTCAGTGTTGTTTTACTTCAGTAAGGTAGTCCGGTGAGAGCTGATGTTTAGCGTCAAAGTGTCCGACCACTCGTTCTGACAGTTTTTTTACACAGAGGAAGAAGTTAGTAGTAATAAATCAGATTGCCGTTCACAGTAGCCCCTGACTGTTTGGCTGGTAAATCAGTAGGAAGGAAGAAAAAAAGGGTGAAGAGGAGGATTAAAATATTTCTAAAGATACTAACACAATACAGAGCCGTCATAAAACCTACAGGTAATAAATAATAACACAGCAGGATGGGAGAATCATTCCCAGAAATAGTCACAGACGATAAAACAAATAAAATGAGATGAAAGTGCACCAAGTATGGTAACGGTGGTTCCTCTTTCTTCCTCTCTCCATTTGACCCAGGGTCCAACAGCAGCAGCGGCGGCGGCAACAGATCGTCACGGCAATCTTTAGACAGATGGGGAAAAGCTTCCCTGCTCGGCAAAGACGGTACCCACAGTCGCAGCTCTATGGGCCGGGAGGTGGAAAAGCTGATTTAAAGTGTGGGGGTCGGGGGATGTTAGGTTGGTTGGACCGTTACACGATGAGCGGCCCGCGGCGGGGGTGTTTCGGACTCTGGCCGTCCCTGTCCTCCGCCCCCTGCTCCTCCAGGTTAATGTTGCTGGTGGAGAAGTGGTGGGGGAGGGGGTCTAGAGCAGGCCTGTAGCCCCCAAGATACATAAAATCTGAAAAAGACAGAAGAAAAAAAATAATAATCATCCGATATAAATTAATAATTTGTATTTTTTAAACCTTCATAAACAAAATAACCTTTCAGACAGAAAAGGCTGGACTTCAGTTCAGGTCTTCATTTCTAGTTTCTTCTGCTTGAATTCTTTCTTCCTTTTATTATTACTTTCTTTTAGTCTTTAATAACAAAAATAAAGTGTACATAACCTAATATTATTGTCTAAGTTCATTTTACAATAGTAAAACAGTTACTCAGTTCTTGAGCAGCCTTTTGACCAAATACTTTTCTTTTATTCTTGAATAATTCATACGATGGTTACTTTTTACTTTTATCCGAGCAGAAATTATGTTTAATTGCTAGTTTTACTTTAGTACATCTTTAAAGTACTCTACCAACCTCTGCTCGCTCTGTATTCAGCCTTGATGGGTCAGTACTTTGTAGGACCACCTTGCTCTGCAGGTACGGTAAATTAGATAAAAGAAATCTGCAAACAGTAACTTTCAAGTCTGTATAGAGTCTCAGTCTACAATCTAATGAAGCCATTTTGAAGTGTAAATATGTTTTATCTTAACCAATGCATTGTGCCCCTGGCTATATAGAGCATTATTTCCCTGTTGGAAAGTGAACTTTCCCATTCTAAGTTTCAAAAAATTACGAAAAATTTAAGTTTTTTCCTGCATTTAGCTCCAAACACATTCCACTTTTTGTTCCCATCAGCTTAAAACAATACCAAAGCATCATGCCACAATCAATCTTTCACCGATGCATTGAAATATGAAAACTAAAGTGTGTACACATTGTTTTTTACTGTATAAACGGAAAATCTGACGCCAGCTAAAGCTCGTCATCCTGATGTTTGATTCTTCATCTAACCATAACTTCATACCTAGTCCTCAATGTGCACTGGGCACGACTCCTCATCTGTCCATCCGAAAGAGAGCCAAACAGGAAATAAGGATGGCAAAGAAGAGACAGAGATATGTGGGAAAGGGCAGGAAAGGAAACAATGTTGAGGAAAGAACAGAAGATGAGAGTAATGGTGGCAGGATTGAAAAAGGAGAGAAACAGAGAAATAACACAAGTTTTACGACACAAGAGTAGGAAACATGTCACAACGCTCAGTTTAAAACATCGTCAAGGGGATGAGGGGCATCAGGGGGTGGAGAGCTGAACGGTTTAAAAAAAAAAAATCAAGAGAGAAAGAGATGAGGGTTTTGGGGAAGTTTGAACTTATGTAGCACAAATTAGTTTCTATTTTAAATCAAACATATTCACAACCCTTTTTAGGCTAAAACAGAAAAACTACAAATTATGTTAAATCTTATAATGGCCTGAACAATTATAGAGAAGCTATAACACATCATCGTTAGACAAGCAGGCTCTTCACATGCTGTTGTCTCCATCTATGATGAAAGAAGTTTAGCTGAAATTTGGTGGAAGGAAAAAGTGATGCACAAACAACAGCAAATAGCACAGCTTTCAGGGGACTGTAAGAGAAATTTAAGAATACAGTGGCGATTTTTACAAGGTAGAGTCTGAGCAGAGACTCACCTCACGCATCTGTATCTACGAATTAAGCTACAACCTAACATTGGTGCAACTGGTCAGAGCAGAAGCTCAGTCCTGAAATGGGTCCTTGAGCGACTGCAGGTGGGGGGAGATGGACTGTAGCAAAAATACCATCGGTTTTGAACAATGCAAGCCTACATGAAGCTGCGAATGAAATCCTTCAGTGAAAGGTGACTCCATCCTGCTTTCAGAATTGATCGGGATCAATGCTCCCATCAGGCTCAATGTTTTTGAAGTTTCTTTCCTATTTAATTTGTAGAAAGTTTTTTTTTTTTCAGACATTGTAAAAGATACACATTTTCTGTCACATGACTATTTTGTACTCTTAATTTGGTAACTGCAAAGCATATTTTTTAATGATGGGGGTATTTCTATTGCTGTACAGGATATAACCCAGGATATAATCATTTTAGATTTTTTTTTTTTTCATGCAGCTGCTGTTTCTTTTCTTTTTTTTTTTTTCTATTATGTTACATTACTTGTATTTGGTCACTTGTGTGCCAAAGTGTCTGGATTGACAAAACCTCCGATGAGAGCAGATGTTGAATTTCATTTGAACATCAAGGTTAAAGCTGCTTGGGGTCCAGAGAGATGTTTCCACGGTGACAGATGATTTGGGTTACCATGTCCATTGTAACTGTGATTTCTGTACAGCGCTTTGGTCAAACATGGTTGTTTTAAACGTGCTTTATAAATAAAGTTTGAGTTGAGTCAATTGCTGGTGTTATTTCAATATGCCTCATCAAGACCAGAATCAGAAGTCTTCAAACCTTTAGATTATGTTCCATTGCTGAGAAGAAATGTGCGCTAGAACCTCCGCATCACATTACAAGAAGCACCAATACCTTATTTAGTGTTCATGGGACAATGAGACGGTTAACAACACCTGCCTTAGTGCTGCAATGAACTGATTCGTGAAAAAGGAGCCCCAACCAAATACTTACTGTACTCTTTAAGATAAAGTTGAATTTTAGTTATATTATAAATACCAAGATGCACTTGTTCATTAAGCCAGCCTTCCATCAAGGACCCTCATCTCTTCTCAAACTGAACCAAATATTAGGATTCAGGGAAAGAATGAAGGGGTTAGAATGATGGATGAGAACTGGGTGTGCAGATGTTTTGCAAAGCGGCTTGGAGCTGGCAGACACCGAACATGAACTCCAGTCTTTGAGAAATACCGGTTTCAGTCTCACACACACAAATAGAGTTGTTTTTTTTTGTTTGTTTCTTTAAATGACTGCATGCAGAAGTCACCTATCCGACATCCTGCAGGTGAACTGGCTCACATACCTACAAGGTTTGGACTCAAAGGAAGAGGAAGGAAATAGTGCGTGGCTAATTAATCTGGAAAAATTAAAATGAAGAAAAGGAAGGCACCGAATCTTCATGCTTTACTATAAAGGCAACAAACCCCTATTAATTATTTCTGCCAACTCCTTTTTTTTTATTTTATTCTTTTAACTGCAGTTGCTGAGTCATGCAAACCTCACATTTCCTTTCCTCTATCCTCAAGCTCTGATTGGTCCATGTTCGACAGGTTGCCACTCACCGGCGAATCGGCTGTCTGGAGCCTGCTCATTATCCAACCCCAAAGAGGGCGTGTCACAGTGGGCGACGCCCTGATTGTTATTGGCCAACTCTGGACACCTGCTCCGCCCACCTGCAAGCGAGGGCAAAGGTCAAACAAGAGCAGCCAGGCACAGCGTGAGAGGGGAGGAGGTGGGAGGGAGGAGGGGTGAGACAAGCAGGGAGGAGGAGGAGGAGAGAAGGGGGGAGGCCATGCTGGAGTGAAAAATGATTAAATACATCAACAGTCAGAAGAATATCTGCTGTAAAGCCAACCTGGGAATAAGTTAGATCTCTGGAGCATTTCTGCAAACTTATTTTTGAACTGGACTTAGATCAAAAGGTTAAACTTGGCCTTTTGCTTAGATCCAAAACTTATTCGATAGTGGTAAAACAAAGAGACATTTTCAGTAACAACAAATCAACAGGCTGTCAGATTTAATTAGAACAAGAAAAGGTGTGAATATGATGCCATATATGTAGCTGCAGGTCCATTGTGAAGAATAAAAAGCTACATTTTTTCTGCATAAACACTCAAATTAACCTTAAAAGTTTTAAGGACAACTTACTTACAGTTAACCTTTCCTTTCAGGGGGTTAATTGCTTTAACATTGTAATGTGATCATTAGTCCTGCTGAATTAGCAAGAGTTGCTTTTTATCAGATTTGTTTATACCTTTGTCTCATATTTTTGCAATTTTTTTCATGGAGACAAAAATCTTTCCTTTCTTTTATCAGGACTTTTTACCTTGATGAGGTTTGACGTCGCTGGATGTGTGAGAAACATTCTGTTGACCAGAGTTCAACAGCTTCATCAATCACTAAAATCAGTGAACACAATATAAACTTGACCAGATCATGATGAGAGTGGATGGTTTTCCAACTATAGACTCAGTAAGCTATTTCAAAGGATTATTTTGACAACATGATGAGACATTCCTGTGATTTAATTCCACTTCAGTAAGCCTTCAAATAAGATGCAAATGAAATTTTAGCAGAAAAACACAGAGCAGGTGCACATGAGATGACAGTGGATCTAAAACATAAAAAAGGACCTAAAGATGTTTTTTATCCAGTAAAACATCTAAATCTGTTGTTAACAACAAAAAAAAAAAAAACCCTTGGTTTTTTGGGGTCATATATGCTGTAAAATCATAATAAAAAGCAGAACAATAAGTTAGTAAACACATAGACCTGGTGTTCAGTTTGTCACAAAAATCAGTGGGAAACATTCAGAACACATCTGGCAGAGCTCTTACAGATGTGCTTCTAAACATACATCCTATTGAGTGTTTTCTGTTAACACTGGTCAGTTGCTCAGTTGCACTCCATCAAACACCCACAATGACACCATCCACAGAGAAACCTGCTTACATAAACAGGTTTTTAACAGTTTAATGATGGAAGAAATATAGCAGAATCAGAGCATTGATTTTATATTATGTTTATAACGCTGAACTTTTATCTTGGGCATTTACAGTTGTAAAGAAAATGATATGTTCACAGTAGTTATTCCAATAACACAAAACTGAAAAAAATTATAATAAAGGGTATGTAAACTTCTAGCAGAACTGTTTGTGAATTAATTTTATTTTACTTTCAATTCTCTAGCAAAAATTGTACCTATAAGAATTCAACTGCAGAAATTCACACTTGATAAAATGAATCTCCTAAAATAAATGTGCAAACTTTTGCTTTAAAATACAGGGGCGTTACAAAACCCTCCGGTTTGGATAGCACCTGCTGTTAATGACCAAGGCGGGGTTTCCAAAACTTGTGGAAACGGGTTTCAGCACATCAGAAGGCACTGAATTTCCATGGCACACAAACACGTTACGCCGATCCTTTGGTGAACGTACGGTGGGTGAAATGTTTGGTTGATCTGTTAAGGGACCCACCTCTTCCCACTTTATTGGTGTGTCATGTGACCCAATGAGTGTATTTGATTGGTCAAAAGTCACTGGACTGCCTCTGCAGCTGACATTTTTTTAATACAGTATGTTTTTACAAGCATTTTTTTTTTGCTGTTGAATTTAAAGTAAAATAAATATGTGATTTCAAATGATAAAAATTCTGTGTTATAAATTCAACATAAAAAAAAGGCATCACATTTTAATGCGACAATATTTCTTGTAAATTTATCAGCTAGCCTGTTGCTTTGGCATTAAGCATCAAGAACCACTGGTTCACAATCAGCCTTTATGTAGCTCTTCATCACTTTACTTTTCCTCATTCAAAAACAAACACAAATCATGATTAGGAGAAGTGTAGACAATTATAATTCAGAAGTGAGATATAAAAAAGGGCTTGCCTTATACAAACAAATCAAACTTTTGATAAAGTTTATCTAAAGCTCATATCACATTTATATTAAATTGGGCAGAGAGACAGAAGTGTTACATTGCAATAAACAACACAATATTCTCATCCTTGGTCACACATTTCTAAAAAAAAATATGAATTGATTAATAAACAAGTTACTAATTAAATTAGCTATGAATATTTTTTTCTTACAAGTCAGTATTTTACTAAATAAATTGTAAATGTAAAAGTTATTGAACCATTAAAGAATCAATTAATTTATTTATTTCATACTTTTTCTAACAATTCATAATGATTATTATCTAAATTACTGTGGTTAAACTATTTGTCGGTTAACAGGGACAGGAAACCATCTGAACCACTAAATTCTTATCACTATACAGAGCGGGGACTATATAGTGGACTTATTAGTGAACTCAGTTAACTGACCGTTTGGACAGATGATCACTACTTTTCGCTCCCCGTTGGTCACCTGACTCCACCTCCACCGCACAGAGCCTACGCCATCTTTGTTATTTGTTGCCACTGTCGGGTAGCGACAGCGGGACCACAAATCCCATGATGCCTTGCAAGGAGAGATCTCCTCTAGTGACCATGGATGATCACTATTTTTCAAGGTGCATTATGGGAAATTTTGAGTCCACTTTTCATCTACTAGACATTCAGAAACTCATCTAAAATGCTGTAAACCACTATACAGTGCCCTATATAGTGATAATGGGGGACGTTCAGACACAGCCTTTGACTGAAACAGAAAACAACGCATGTGCTGCACAAATATGTTAAATTAATATATAAAAAATTACGAAATATGTATCAGTTTATAAAATATAATATTAAGAGATAATTTATAACAAAATAAGCTATTTGTTTATTTGCTTAAAGCCTTATCTTTTAAATATTTATTGGTTGCTCTTTAAGCTGTTGATGACGCAGGTGCAGAAAATGGAAAAGTCCAACCTAAACTACACATAATGGCTGAAGCTGCATGTAGTCATTGTTGACTTTTAACTAGATAAACTTTTAGAAACACTGATTTAAATATATTTAAGGATTTAATGGATTGATTATTTCAGACGGGAAAACCAGATCAAAGAGTTTCTAGTGATTATATTTTTTAAATATGATGCCACCCAATAAGGATTCAGCCAAGCCCATGTGAAGCAAGTGGAGTCCGACAAACAGCTTGCATTAGAAAATAAACAGCCCCATCTAGAGGACAAAGACTGCCATTGCAGGTTTTACTTTTTCTTTGCCTTGATATCAAGAAAACAAAGCAAAATCAGCAATTCAGACGATGACATATTTAATGTGGCCTTTATGACTGCGGTGTAACACATACAGAGGGAGGTGAGCTGTTTTGAGTGAGAAGTGAGGGATTAGTCTCATAGTTACCTTTCCCGTTTGACGGAGAGGAGCAGTCCTCTTCTGTGACATCATTTCCCTGAAATAAAATAAAAGATGAAAGCTCTGAAACATGAAAATAAAAATTTGCTCCAATAAATCTACTTATGTGTGTCGGTCACAGTAACCTCTGAATCCTGCTCCTCTACAGCCAAAGAGTAATTGTTTCCCTTTGATTCCCTGGAAAACTCCTAAATGAGGGGGAAAAAAGGAGAGAATTCAAGCAGGGACTGTCTTAGCTCAACAGGATCATCATGAAGCCATTTTTATCCGCCAGGATAAAAATCTCACCCCGTCCTGGTGTGGTGCAGCTCTGCTCTCCATCGGAGCGTCTCGGTCCTCCTCTCCATCCACGTCTCCCTCCCCGACTCCAGCGGGCTCAGGTTCAGCGCCGGCCAGGTAGGACCCTGACATGGAGGACATGGTGTCAGCGCTGATGTGAGAGTGCTGCGAGTGGGACGAGGCCATTGACATCACTGACTGGGCCAGGCTGCTGCTCACCGGGTCTGACAGACAGAAGGAGACATGATGATGTCCAGCTTAAGTTTTGGACTTTATGATTTCTACTGAATATCCACTGGATATTTCATTTAACTGGGACAGAAAAATAAGGATCTCTTTATCCTTTCAAAAGCAAATGCAACTAATGTCTTAAAGAAATTAAACAAGCCTTGAAATTGAATTTGTTATTGTTTTTATAATATGAGACTTTAAATTTCTCCACACCAGTTCACAGTATCTGTTGGTCTCCAGTACATTTGATTCTTAATGTTCTCGAGCAAAACATTACGACATTCAGAGAACCACTGGATTTATACGACCCTAATCATTTATGGTATCAGAACAAAAGGGGCTAACATAAAAAAATAAAAATAACACAAAAGTTATCATTTCCTTCTAATGTCGGTTGATGGATGACACTAAATACCATTTAATACATTCAAGTTTGTGTAACAAGGCAAATGTCAAAAGGTCATGGAAACTGTTTATACAGCAAAGAATAAGAGGTTATAATATCCATACTTCTCCCTGCATGCTTCTTCCCATCATTAAGGTTTGCCTTTTTTTCTTAGCTAAGTCTTCAGGTCAGACCACAGCATTCAACTTAAGACCAGGATCTCCTTAGAACATCAATTATTTCCTTCTTTCACAACTCTGTTTCAGCTCTTCTGCTGTATTTAGGATTTTTCCCCAGTTTTGGACCCAAGTTCATATTTTGGACAAATAGCCACACATTAAAACCTAGAATATTTAAACAAAAAGAGGAGTTCATACATTATTTGCATCCTACCTCCACATCCAAGCTTGACATTTGGGCTGAAGGGTTTTTGTGGGTAGTTTTGTCTAAACATAGCCTGTGCATTATGGAGCAACACATAATGGACTCTGTTCTAGAAGACCAGATTGACCAGAAGGATTTGTAAACAAATTGTGATTCTTTTTTTTTTTTATATGTTTTTCATAAGAGAATAATAGTTTTGGTAAAGAATAATGAATATAAGTTTAGCAAATGTTCTTCTTTGAAAGCCAGGCAGCAAAGATTTGCTCCTCTAATGTCTTTGTCTCTCCAACCTAATATTGCCTTAACACACTGCAATGCTCCAGGAAGTTAAAACTGCTGCTTTATAAGTCTGGTCATTTGATTGGCAGCACCAGTCTGCAAGTTTAATTCCTTCACATTAACAGTAAGGGTTTTCTCAGCTTATACCATAACTGAATATGGTACATTTACAAAAGAAGTACGAATAAATGAATAAAAAAAAAAAATGTTAACATTTTCTGTTTTTCATTTTATTTCATTATATTTCTGTCTAAATAGAAAGAATATATATATATATATATTTAAATAATGAAATATATTATAAGTTGAACTGAGAGATTGTTTTTAAAAATGGAGCAAAGCAGAACTGACATGTGAAATATTAAATCTTCTGATGTACAACAGTTGTCTTGTTGATACTGTTATTAATCAAGATGACATCAGGAGTCCTATTTGATGATGCAAACTCGGTTTCTGCCCTGTTTTCTGTACCTTCAGGGGAGGTGATGGTGGAGGAGAGAGGGGTGCCGGTGCAGGGCGACTGATCGATGGCTCCAGAGGAGGAAAGCGTCAGGTTCTCGCTGTCTGGAGTCACTCCGCACTGGAAGACAGGCCGGTGAGCGTATGGAGAAACATCTCAAAGACATTTTTAGGTTGACAAAAACCTCACTGTTCCAAAAATCTAAAACCTTTCAGAGTGATACCAAAAAAAGCTTTTTTTTATTTACATTTTGATCATAAAAAGCTCATATTCAGCATCTCAGAAAATTATTGGATTAAAAAAAAAAAACTTAAAAAGCATTCCCTAATGTACTAGTTAGTTAAGTAATGACTGCATTATGGCTGATACAGCTGCTCGGAAAACTGCTGAGTCATTAGCATCCTCAGCAAGGAGCATAGGCCACACAAGCTAAAGCTAAAGAAGCTAGTTGTTTAGCATACTCAGAAACATTGAGGGAATGATGCTTCTTTCTGCTCACAAACTTTATGAAGACATTGGTTTCACCCTTTCAGCAGGACTTGGCAAATGCCAACACTGCCAAAGGTCCAACAAGCTGGTTCAATGACCACGGTGTTGCGGTGCTTCATTGGTCAATTAACCGCTCAGACCTGAAGCCCTTGAATCAGAGTTTCTACAACAGAAGTTAAATTCAAAACTTTTTAATGCCACTTAAAATAAAAATTTAGGACCAACTTGACAATAAAAGATAAACCTGGTAGCGACAAATTTACCCCAAATGTTTATTTTAACATAAACCACTACTTTCTGACCCAGTAGATGCGTTTAAAATTTTGAAAAACTTCCCATATAGGAAGAAAGCTAAAAACAAACATATTTTTAACAAATACTGAACTGAATTCACTAACTTTGTTTTGTTCCCTACTGAATTCCTCTACTCTCATTTTTGGCAGGATAATGTTTGGCGGTACGCCAAGATGAGATGTGGTTCTACTGGCGCTGTTTGTGATGTGAGAGATGCTGTGGAGGCGTTGCAGAGACAAGGGTGGAACAGAACTGAGAGATACCTGCTGCTTCTCCATAACTTGATATTGACGCTTTGAGTTTCATGCTTTGCAGATGCGTCTTCACTGCCTTGATTCCCATGCAGAAAACTCTTGGATGGCAGTCTATTTTATGTTGAATTTAAAACTTCCCCATGTTGTCCGGATAAAAAGTTAATGGCACATCATCCCAAGGTCCGGCCGCAACATCTTTTTTATTGGTTCCGCTATCAGGACGGAACCAATAACGGTTACAGGGAGCGGTTTGGTAAATGTAAGAAAAATAATGTAAATTATTTTATTGTTTGATATGGATTACCAAAACAAAATCCTATTTCTGATTTGGTAACAATTTTAAGACCTATGAAAGACTGATTTAAGAAATTTTAATACCAATTAAGGCCTTGATTTTATATTGAAGAATTGAATGCCTTTTAAGACTTTTTAAGGATCTGCAGGAAACCTGTTGGATAATCTACAGATTATTGTCAGGAGGAAGATGAGGGATACCAAGATCAACAAAGCAGATGGAAAATCCGGGGTTTTTACTCCACCTCAGTAGAACCGTGGGCTGATGCAGGAATTCCTGACCAATCATGGACAGAATTCTAATGGGCATTCGGATATTTTTGTTTATATAATTCATTATTGATGCCATTTAAATCTCATTTATTATTCAACATTTCTGAGAAACTAGATTTTGGGGTTTGCATCATCTGTAAGCCACGATTATCAAAAATACAACAAACAAAAATCTGAACTGTTTCATAAAACAGACAGACAGACGCACCTCCTGCTGATCGACGGCCACTTTGGGACAACATGCATCCGATTCACTGCCAGACTTCTCGTCCTCTTCTTCGGGAAGCACGGAGGAGTTCTGGGAAAGTGATCTGCAACAAACAAAGATGATGCATCAAATTCTGAATATTTTATTGTATAACATGAAACATGTGATGACTGAAATGAATGCTTCAAAATTTAATCTGCATCATTTATTGTCATTGATTTTAAGATTCTTTATATTTGTTTTAGGAAAGATAGAAGGACTAAAATAATCAAGGGAGAGAGTATGTAAGAAAGAAAGGAGAGACAGTAGGAAGTAAATATGATATGGAGTCAAATTTAGGAGTAAAAGTGTCTTTGCTCATTTTTTTTCTATGTTATCCAGACCTAAAAAAAAACCTTAAGATTAAAATCCACACTTTGTCAGAATACAGAGGAACAACTCCATTTCAAAGTGTTTGGAAACATATTGTTAAAAATACATATATTTTACTTTTCCCTTGCATAAAACTGGTCTTTTTTCTACTATTAAATGTAAACAACTCTGCAGCAGGGATTCATTTTTGTTACCTTGCAAGTAAGATTAAATATGGTGAGATTTTTTAATTCACAAACTCCCAAAATACATCTTTCCTGAAGCCAACAGATGCATAAGCACCGGTTTTAGCTGGAATACCCTCTATTTCTTTTTGAAAAACAAGCAAAAGGACGCAATTTGTGCCTTTGTGGATGGGAAAGATGTTTGCATGTTCCTCCAGATCAGATTTGGTAAGAATTTGATTTATCCATTAACTATGCTAGTTGTGAAACAAATCAAGAATGTGATACTTCACAGCTGCTACTGCTGCTGCAATTGGCTAAAAACTCGACATGGGAGGCATGTGCTGCTTGATTTACCCAATCAGCTTAAAGAATTGTAGTGAATGTCCCTCCCTTCTGCAAACACTTTCTCAGATTGATACCTTGTAGTTAAATTCAAACACAAGGTAACTTTAACAGCCTCTTCTGATAAATGAGACTCTGGATGTTATTGACCTTAACGATAAAGATCAGAAGAAGAGATACTTACTTTGAACCACTCTTTTTCAGTTTTATTCCCTGACTGGAGTTGGACTGGTCAAGAGGGGAGAGGGATCTGGCCGGGTGGGGCTCACTGCTATATGGTGGCAACACTCCAGCGACGTGGCTGGGACCAGAATGGAGAGGAGGAGGATCCACAGAGGAGGTATTCAAGGGCCCATTCAGGGCCTCAAGCAGAGAAACAGCCTCATAACCGGGAGGGATGTGTTCCGATGCCTGCTGCAAGAAAACCAGAGCAGGAAAATATGTTTACAGTAAAGCATTAGGATCATTTTACCTTCTTCCTGCATCGGCTGAGCCTCACTGAGTGTTCTTCCGAGTCCGATGTCTGGGAGGTGATGACGGGGTTAAAGCTGGTGGGCGACAGAGGACTGAGCTTCTTCCTCATTGCTCGAATTTGCAGCAGAGCTCTAAAGGCTGACAGTGAAAAAAAAAAACAGCAATGATGATATCAGAAAGCAAATTTGATGTCAAGCTTAGCAGGTCAGTTAAAAAAAACCCTCATAGAAGCAACGATGGAGTCAAAGCAAACCTGCTGCTTTTATTAGACACCAAAGAAATTATAAAGTTATTTATTTTTTAGGCGGAACATTTTTCCAACCTTACTGAAGCTTTCTCAGTCCAGCTGATGGACACTGAAAGCTCCATGAAGTCACTGATTAATAACTTAATCAGGTGGTACTTAATCGCAACTAAAATGGACCATGTCATCAAAAACAATCAGACCATGTAATTAAGCTGTTATTCTGCACTTTAAGGCTACTCCCATATCAAAAACACATGCGCCACTGGACTTCGTATCAGCAAAAGTCTAATCTTTAATGAAATGGATCAATGCCTGGGACAAAGGTCCTGAAAACACAGCAACTTCAATCCTAACCATTAAAACACTAAACCAGCTGAACACCTTTATGAGTGGAAACAGGAAGAGCTTAAAAAAAGAGATTTATCAGATGGCCAAATCCTTTCAGATTAAATGCTTAACATTTTGACCTTTACTCCTTCAGACGGAAAATCCGCTGATCTGCTGAAACTGTAAAAAAAGTAAGCCAATTTTTGGTTGAAAACAGCACATTTTCCTTTTTATTCAAGTAGATAAGACAATTTATCAACGAAATAAGATGACTGACTTTTAAAATATGTCAAACTTTTTGCAATATCTTATTTCTAGTGCTGAATATCCAACTATTCCATTTTAAGGGAAATAAAATACTAATTCCATTGGTAGAGTTACTTGCTCAAATTAGGGGAAATACACTTTATTTAAAGAATTTTACTTGTTTTAAGATCAGTTTTTACAGTTCAAAAACAGCTGTCAATGGGTGCAGGAGCACTTCATTAGAGGAAGTTGCTCTTTTCAACTTGATGTAATTCAAAACCTACCTAGGTAAGAAATTAAAGAAATCTTTAAACCTGAAATTGGAGTAAAGTTTTTGTGTTTGCAAAATGATGAGCAAATGTGGAAAACAGACCGTACCATATAAAACATGGCTGACCATCTACGTACTTTTACATTTTGACCTCAAAGCACCAATAATCTGACGTTGTACGGCTTTACTGCATTCTGAAGAAACTATTTAGCAATTTGAATCCGCTGTAAAAATCCTTCAGAAAATGTCCTTTTAATTAGATGAGTATCTACATCCTACAGATCCAAGTCAGCAACAATTTATATATAGAATTAAAACAGGCAACTTTACACCCTGAAAAAAGTCTAAGACCAGCACCGCACACCTCATATGTCCTTCTTAAATTATTCTATAAGATCCACATTCCCATAAAAGCTACAAGATATAAAACATTCAGAGCTGAAATAAGTATATTTTTTCATATTTAATACTCATTACTCAAGCATTCACATTCTTAATCACATACTGATTAAGTACGGTAATACCTAAAAACAAAAAAAAGTAAAAATATTAAATTAAAATGACTAATAATGTAAATAAAAATATATGAATTTATTTATAAGTTTAATTAATTTGATGCAATCATCTTAGATCCCATTAAATTTTTTTGTTTCCCTCAAATATTGCCTTTTTTAATGGATTGTATTTGTGGAACTAATGGCTTTCCATATCTGCTGCAGGCCGTGTTTGAGTGACACGTTTAGATAGATTTGAGTTCCAAATCTTATGGCCAGACATTTTTTTTTCATCAGTTATGGATCAACAGCAGGATCTTCCTTTTATCCGCTCATCATGCAGCAGTGGACGCCCTGTTGCAAAACCTATTGGACCTGTTCTACAGTAAATATAACGATCCAGCAAAAATACAAAACAGATTCTTGGGAAGTTTGCTTGTAATTTTGTCTGAAACACTCTTTTTACAATCATAAAGACTTATAGGAAGATATATGGAGGTAAAAAATGTGGATTAGTGCTACTTTAAAGCAATAAACTGTGTTTTAAAGTGGCTATTAAGATTTATTTTGCCAGTGAAAGCTAGTTTCTGTGAAGGTGAACTCACGCAGCCTGCAGATGGGACAGCAGTTGGCCTGGTAGCGCAAAGTGTCTGCGCAGGCGTTACACAAACATAGATGTCTGCACGGGAGGATGAGGGTGTCTCGCACATCAGACAAGCACACCACGCATTCTGCGCTGTTGTCGCTGATCTCGTCATCGGCCACCTGAAGAAGAAGAAGGAAAAGAGAACATTTTCAAAGAGCATAACCGACCAAAGCAGACAGCCCTGATAAAAGATGACATTAATTCCTCTTGTGTTTTTTTTATTCCTACCTTTGATTCCTGACTGTTGTATTTGTTCTCGATCCCATAGATCTCCTGCAGCAGGTAGCTAACTCCATCCACCTGGGAAAAGGAACACAGAGAATAAAGTCAAACAGTGTATGGCGTTATTTATTCAACAGGAAAAAGAAAATTGTTAAAAATTTTTAAGTCTTCGGAGGAAGAAAGTATCTGATTTATTCACCACTTGCTTCTGCTTCAGAGGTTTTACACAGAAACTTCCATCCATGTGCTGCAAAACAACATGACATGCACATTAAAGAAAAAAGTAAAACCTAATATATTTTGTTCTTGATCCAGAAGCATTTGGTTCCAGGTTCTGGCTCATTTTACCTTTTCAAACGTAGCCAATAGGATGTGAGAATGGCCCAAATGTTCTGGAGAGATAAAACACCATGGATCACCTTAAATTCTGCTGCGGTATTTTCACCCCACCTTAACACGTCCTCTTACCTTCTCCCTCGTCTACCACAGCCTGCACAACCATCGGGAAGATCTCCTTGTCTACATCAAACAGCAGCTGAGGAGAGAGAGACGCAAGCATTCATTATGCCGCACAGGCGGCCTTCCCTCGCCAGCAGATTCAGGATGAGGCAGCTTACTTCGTCGTCCGCCCATTCGCTGAGGTTGACGGTGTGCGAGGGCAGGCAGAACTGCTGGCACACTCCTCTCTTAAAGTGAACAGTTTCTGATTGCAGCGAGCTGTCCTGTGGCAGGTAGCTGCAGAGGTCAGAAAGAGAGTCGCCAGCAGGTCAGGAATCTTAACAGAAGCCTGAAAAAAATTGCTACTCCTGTACTTTTTATAAATGCATGTCAATACAAATTTTGTGCGTGTGTATGTGGCTGCAAAATATGTGAACACCTACAGTCAGAGCAAGGATTTCCATGTTATATAATAGAGGTGTTTGTTGGCAGAACATGCATGATTATGAAGCTAGGAGCCGCTTCAGAGCGGATCCTAAAATTAGGATTGTTCTGCACTAAACACAGTTTATGATTAATTTATCTGTTCCATTAAAAAGAAAAACAAAAAAGGGAAGCTTTTAGTTCCTTCTGGGGCTTCATGACCACCTCAGAATAGGATATACATTTTACATGTACAAGTCCAAACTGGTTTTGATATGACTACATTGAACATATTTAAAACTCGGTTTAAAGTGTCTTGCTTGGTGAGTTCAATGTTTCCTTAAACTGTTTTCTTTCTTAGCTGAAAGCGTAAAGCTAAATTATTTAATAGAACACCCTGAAACAAAACACCTTATTGAAAATGTTGAGAAGAAAAGCAGGGAAGGAAAAAAACAAAAACAATGCGGCTACTATAAGGTGACCGCCCTTGATTTTTTTTTCCTGTGCTACGTGTTTGTATCCTGTTAAAATCAGATATTTACAAACATGAATAAATAACCTTTGTTCACACTGACTGATGTTAAGGCAGATTAAACAGTTCCGGATTTAGACCAGTTAGAGAATAACCTGTTATGGTGTGGATTAAATATCAACCACAGTAATAAAGAAAAAAGCTTAAGTGGAGACGGATGAAGCCAGTCAGAGAGGGCCAACATCCAGAGAAAAAAGGATTCAACTTCAAGGGCTAAAAGGCGACTTAGGCAGAAGAATCTCCAATCTCCAAAATCAAAAAGAAACAGCAGATTAAAGCCTAATAGCCAGATTATAGATTTCAAATGAACACAGAGACAACAACTGTAATATTAGGACAGACTTCCTTAAAAGCTTTTAAACTGAAATTGAGGTGATGATCAATATGTCAAAGAAAAGGGTTAGGTTAACCTTAAAAGAAAGTTTCTGATTTTACAATTAAGGCTGAAAGCAGGACGTTATCATTCTGGAGAGACTGCAGATCACTATTTCAAAACTCCAAACTGTCACTCTGGATTCTTCCCAGAATGCTCCCATTACTATAATTCTCTAGCTGAAAACTAGAAGTTGTTGTCGAGTCTTCATCAGAAAGGCCTGATTTTCATTTTTTTAGGTAGAGCTGAAAAAAGGCGTGTCAGAGAGATGCAGTTGACTAATGCGGTTGAATGACATCAGTGCTGTCAGGAGGAATGGGCCAAAATCTCGACAAACTACTGCTACAACCTTGTGGCAGGATACCCGAATCACTGGGAATTCTTCTGATAGTTTCTACTAATTACCGGTAGTTAAAAAATAAACCCAAACTTTATAAATCTAAACACGTTTTTAACATTTTGAACAAAAATTTCTGGCAATTTCCACTAAGAATCATATGTTGCAAGTATGCCAAAACAGACTGTAGAATTCAACTGTGATCAATCCAAATAAAAACAAGAATCTGGACTATTTCCACCCCCGAATGTGTGTGCACTTTAACTTACACTGGCACTCCATTGTGAAACTCCTCTATGGCCTGGTAGTAAATGGTGATGGCGACCTGCGTGTCCGCGTCAAACGTGAACTCTACATTGTAGCACGCCCTGTTCTTCCCCGCCACCTCGTCACCCGGCAACTTCAGGTCCTCGCTACATCTGGAAAAAAAAAAAAAGGGGGGGAACGTTCTTGAACTCTTGCAGATGGAGCTATAGTGGTTTAAATTCATTATCTAAGATCCTGAGAATATACATTGAAGTTTCTTGTTATTGGAAAATGTGCACAGATCTAAAGGTTTGAAAACATTCCAACGCACAGGAATTTCATTACATTATATAGACATGTAACACAAATATGATTGAGCTGATAAAAGAAATGTTCTGTTTACCTCAGACATGAGTGTGTGACAATAATGGCCAAATGCTAAGAGGTACATGTCAGCGTCACTTAAAAGAATGAATGATTTGACACACTCTCTATAAATACCTCTTTTAAGTTGTGCCATAAAAATAGCTTGGCTGACCAAACCCTGTGCGAGTTGCTTAATGGCATGTTATGCCACCTAGAAAGGGGCATGTACCTCACGAGCCGCAGCGTGTCCTTTCGAATGTTTATAAGGCTTCGTAGCGTCTTTACTGGTTCCTGAGGTGGCGGAGCTGCATATGGGAACTGGACACAAAAGACACAGAAAAAGAAATTAGATATAACATACATGCTGTGAGACCAAGGAGGGAGAGCTCCATCTTTTCTCTTAGATCAACCCAGCATTCCTTTTCTTGACAAACATCAAACTCTGGGTTGGACAATGGCCTCAATAGATCCTGATAACCTTAACGTGGAAGAGCCTTAGGTTGTCAGCACGGATCTAGCTGGTGCTGACAAATGCTGAGTCTGGGCAAAAGAAATCTCCTCAGTTACAGCTGACACTATAAGAAATGTTTGTTTTCTCTTAGAAGTCACTAAAAAGTGAGACCAATGTGAAAAAGAAAACATCCTAACAGTTAGTAATATTTACAAGGTGCTTCCTGGACTAAATGAAACAGTTTTTTTTTTAATCATTTACCCATTAAGTAAAATGCAAACTGCTGTATATTTAAATGTTTAGAATCTGACCTTGTAGTTAACAACCACGTTGCAAAAGGCAAATATTTGCTGAAATCTTTTTACCTTAAAGTTTAACTAACTAGTGTAAATCTGTATAACTAGTTGATGTACTATAGAGAGAAATGAAGCTTTAAATGTTGGTGTTTCAGGAAAAAAAAAAAAAAAAGACGCCAACAAGAAAACATAAAACTCATTTTAAAATCTGTCAACAGTGGGACTTGGTTTGAAAAAGATGTCTCACTACCCTGGATCCAATTGGGTAAAACCTCTAAAAGACAAAAAATACCTTCGCTAATACGTCTAAACTTATCAGCATAGGGGAGGGGCTTTAACATAAAGGCCCACCACAGACTTTGTGACCTAAAGAGTTGACGGCTTTTAGATATTTTAAATGATTCCTCAGGCCAATAAAGAGAGGTTGACCCTAACAATAATACGAGTATATTGTAAGTTGGGAGAACACGCAACGTCATTGGTCAGGTCATGTGACCTGAAAGAACGTATCGCTTTACGGGCAAAGGCTCTTATATCGTCATGGAGCTATGGCTGTTGCTCTACTATTTTTCCGCCTGCTCGACTACTCGTCATGGCTGAGGAAAGGAAAAAGTTTAAACCTTCTGAAGAGGCTAAAAAGAGTCTTGTAAAGGAGTTTATTCGTTGGTGCAGGCTGAAAGAAGAAGAAGCCGGATGTAAAACCGATTCTCTTTTCTCAACTTTATTATTAGACTTGTAAGTTAACACTTTGCTCCTAGTAAACAGTCATATATCTTTATTATTTTTTGTACATTTAGGACAAGCAAAATACGGGCAGTTACAGGTCTAGTGCCCCTAGTGGCCAAAAGTTACAAGCTATGACTTTGACTTTTATTTGATGTCTACGGGACTTGTAAAAGTGTTTCGAATGTTTTTTATTTGTTTTCGTAAAATGCTATTTGTTTTGAATTTTTAACAGTGTTTTGTTTATTTATTTATTTATTTTTAAAATATTAATTTGTTTTCTGAAATGATTATTTGTTTTGGAACTTGTAAAAGTTTTTTTGATTTTGTAATGTTGGTCTGCACCTCCCGGCCACCGTAGATGTCTAATAATCAACTAATTAAAGCTTTATAATCAAATACTTTCGGAAGAAAGTGACCCAAAAATTTAAAATCGTGTCTATAAAGCTGTGTTTAGACACAAGGATGATAACTGGGAAAAGTATCATATTTATTAAGACATTAGGAGTCTATTCATATATACTACAAATACTTCTTATATTGGAAATTTACTTGTAAATACATGCACCAACTTATAAGAAAACAGCCTATAAAAGTATATAAGGTGTCATTTTACAACCCGTTTTTTTATTATTACCTTTTCTCTGCATTATTTTGGTGTAACAGCAATTTAGGAGCATAAAGGACTGTTATTTGCATTACTGAACACTGTATGTCAGCAAGTAAACACATTAAAAACATTGTCTAGAAAAATTAAGCAAAGTTTTTATACTCTTAAAAAGTACACTGGTGCACAAAAAAACGGCAATTAAAATAGATAGATTAAAAGCTACCAAATGTATTTATTCGTCAAGCTGACACTTTTAAGCAGTTTATTAAGGTTACTACCAGATTTGAATTTCAATGTTCTTTGTTTACCAAATTAAAATTTCAAAATTTTCCGTTAAAATATTTAGTCTAGTCTATAAAGATGAAAATAATGCGTTGTGTTTTTTGAGTTTGATCACTGAAAACACCCTAATTGGTTCATTGAGCTCCTAAGTGTGCAGGAACCTTCTCTAGTGAGCTGGTTTGGCCACCAAGACAACAAGTTGAATTTTCACATTACCCTAACCATAGTGAACAACTAGCGTGCCTATTAAAATGTCACTAGTGATCCCATAGTTATGTCGGGGCGTCAACATTGTGAGGTTTTTAATAACTACTAGTTACCTAGTATGAGAAAAAGCCAACTAGTTGGAGCTTTTTTTACACTACACTGGAAAAACGATCTAGAAATAAATAAAAATGTCTTAAATTAATTTACCATTAATTTCAGTATGTAATTGTGATAGTTTGCCAATGGAATTAATATTTTTACTCTTAGAATAAGATTAGTAAAAATGCACTTGAAATTAGACAAGGCAATTGCATTTTCTTATTTGAAGTGTAAATTGTCTTGTTCCATTGGCAACATGTCTCTTTTACCTCCTCAATCCAAGAACAAATGCAATTATTTTAAGAAAAAATAACTTTTTTAGATTTCGATTTTTTCCAGTGTAGCGAGCCAAAAGTGATTAAATTGGGCAAAAAGGAAATTAATTGTAATGGCCTTTTTTATTATTCAAGCAAAATATTAAAATGACTATGAGTACATTTACTTTGTCACAAAATAGCAGGTGAGGCTTGCAGCTATTGTCAAAGATATCAAACAGTAATCTAATTTTTTTGCCCTTTTTATACGTAACCTTTAAACAGTGCTGTTTGCGGTTCATTGCCAGAAAATCTCTCAGTGCGTGTTTGAGGCCAAAAGCTGCTGAATGAGTGCAAGGGCCGAGCCGGAGCGGTTTGAGGATCCCAGGAGAAGAAACATGCAGGATGTGGTCGGGATACCTCCACAGTACAACCCCTCATCTGAGTTCCCGTGTGTTTAAGGGTGTTTGTGTGGCTTGAATAACACCATATTCAGCACTATTACACATCTGGGCTCAGCAGGAGTCACGCCTGCAAACCACACAAACAAACACACACACACACACAGAGAGCTGCTGCTGAAACAGACCGTTCACTCAGACCTCACTGGCTGCACTCTGTCACTTTACCTACCTACACGGCTACTTAAGGTTCAGTCGAAACTATTTGAGCTTTTTACTAAATAGAAATTAGTAAAAAATTATGTTGACAAAAGATAGAGTTGCAATTAATAAAAATTTGCTATGTGAATGTGTGGATTAACATTAATGCAGAAAGTTGTAAACATTTTAGATTTAAAAAAACAAGTTTCCTTTTGTTCAGCTAGGGGCGGGAATTTATTGTACTGTTTATCATGATATATTTCTGGTCATAATAAGAGTTTTGATCTATTGTCTATATGAGAAATTAGAATCAATGATGATTAAAAACCAGAAAGTGGGGGAATTATCAGAACTTTACTTTTTCTTTCTTTTTCTTTTTCCAGTGGGGCATTAATATATTTGAAGAATATGATTAAATGCGGCTCCTAGAGATGTTTAGTGATGCATATCCTACCTCTGTCCTACAGGTGCCGCATTTCAATGTGTATATTGCAGTGGTACACAGTCACAGCCATACAGTTACATAAAAAAAGACAGGAGAATTATGTTTGGTTTTTTTGTTACTTTTATCGTTACCACGATAATATCACCAAATATCTTGATAAGGTGCATATTGCACAAATTCAGTTGTTTTTTGTTTCTTGCTGAGTACCAGGATATTATGGCACTAGATCTCTTTCCGAAATCTGCAACTGTTAGCAGGGCTAATGAACTTAAAGCAAAGGTTCTCTATTTATTCACTGGATTCTGAAACCCCGAAAAAAGTGAAGTCAACTGCCGCCATCTTGCTACTCCCCACTCTCACTGAGATGCGCCTAAAAATGCCTACGTGTGTAGCATTTGGCTGCAAAAACAAGAAGTATGCTGGTTCTGAGAGGACTTTTCGCAGCTAATTTTACAGTCAGTGGATGTACTAACCAAGAAAATCCATATATGCGCCAATATATCCAATAGTATAGTATGTAGCATAACATCAGTCTGGCTATCTTGAACCCACTTGACTGATTAACCATCGACAATGTTGTGTAACGTTAGAAAATAGAAAGTAGAGTAAATAAAAGGTAATTCGCTGTGAAATGTGAATGTAGTCATTTTTGATTAAATGGACGATGTTGTCGGTTTTTTTGTAATGTTTGGTATATTTCTCATTAGAAAAAGACATGCTGAAATATGTTGTGTGTTTTACTTATGGAAAAAAAAAAACTCAAAACATTTGACATGTGAAATGATATTTAATATGCAATTACCATAACAATTTGCAAAAACATAAAGTAAGGAGCATTTAATTGGTTTTCTATTGGCACGGCAGCTGCTTTAGAATTAGATAAAGAGGAAAACATTGTGTCTAAAGTAGCTGAACCTTAGCAGAATCACCCCCTATTGTATCCGATTGATGAAACCGAAACTAACCACAAAAAATAATAATAATAAACTAATAGAAACTCTATTATCTTGATAACTTTAAAAAAAATTTTTATTATTATTCTGCAGTGACAGATTACATAAAGCATCATAGGCGTCGTTGCGCATGCTCTCAGGGTGCAACCATTTAATTTGATCTTTTATTACATGCAGCTTTTATCTAGCAATGCTCACCTGGATATGTGCTCTCAGGCCATTTAAATGACAATCACCGTCATCCAGTGAGGACAAGGTGCAGCTGTGACCCTGCTGCCATCCACACCACATCATTCTGCATATTATTTACTGGCCTACATTCGGCATATTAAGCTATAAATACTAGGAGCAAACTCAGGATTTTACTAGGAGTAAAAATCCATTCTGTGAGAACAATATGTTAACCTATGATGCAACCTATTCATTGGTAAAATAAAGTCATAACTAGGGAGTAAACCCTTTATGGTGGCAGAGATTTTTTGTCTTTGTGTTTTTACGCTTATCGGCCATTGGCCTGCTTAGAACTGCACCCCTTGCATAAAAGACAGTTCAACTAAGTTTTATCTGCTGGACAGATGGACTTAAAGATAACAGAGTAATTTAGGAAACAGACTAGCTTAAATGGCTGCAAGTTTCTAAGTTTATTTGAGTGTAAAACAGAAAACAGTAGAATGTAGGAAAATGGCTGTCAACATTAAATGGGCTTAACAACTGCTGCGGTAAAATTACTGCTACCTTGCTGCCCTACTGAATGGTTCAATAGTTCATAAAAGCTGTCTAAGAACATTTTTTATTCCTAAGACTTTCTATTAAACCCTTAAAAATAGCTTCAGATACTGGCATACTTGTGGCGCCAGTGTGGTGCAGCAGACAGAAAGAACAACTGCGGCTAGTCCTATGAAACCAAACCCCATTATACAACGCTGCTAAAGCATTGAAAAAAAAAATACAGATCAAAATGGAAAACCAACACTGAAGCTACTATCTAAATTATGTGCCTACGGCGGGATTACACACAACCAGAAAACCAGGGGAAAACCGTTTGACTAATTTCAGCCCTAGCAGAGCCAGAAACAGCAGAACCACTGAGATCGGTGCTGAGAAAAAGACGCATTTTTATTTTAGCTTGATTCCCTTTTTCCCTCTGCAGGCGCAAGGGCTTTTATTCTGCAGCTCTCTCTAATTTGACCTTCAGGCTCTTGATGGAGTTTGAACAAACTCTCCAGAGAATGTGTCACTTGTCCGTCTCGCAGCACATGGAGTCAGCAGATAATGATTTTCCAGTCTAATTAGCTTAATGAGACGAAATAAATTTCAATCTGTGATGGTTTGAAGGGCGGTTAATTGTCTTTGCACAAGTCAGAAAGTCAGCAGCTCCTTTTTAAATGCATGCTCAATCAGTGTGGTGATCGGTATGAAGAAAGAAAGGGACTTAAGTTCTGTTTGCTGGTCACTTTTTGGACCTCGAAGAGAAACATTTTGAAGCTTAATTTTAGTTCAACTTTTTACAAAAGGCTTGTTGGTCAATGGTCAGTAAAAAAAGCACATAAAAATGCATAATAATTAAAATGAAATAATTGCTTTTCTAATTTAACGTTTAACATATTTTTCTTTTTTTTCTATAGTATTCAGTTCAACATGTTTAATGTGCTATAGAGCTATAGATTATTTTCAATTATATAATTCTTATGACCTAAAAACATAAATATCTGCTTCTGTCATAAATAGCTTAAAAGCAGCTAATTGACAAACGCTGAGAAAGCATGAGGGATGTGTGAAGGGAGTATAAAGGAACATTAATGAAAAAAGAATTAAAACTCTCGTCTAACAAAGTTAAACTATTTCTAATTTGACAATTCTAGTCAAAACAACCTTTATTATGAAAAAAGAAAACCTACTGCTACTGGTCTGCTTCCCAGGAAGTTGAGATCCGTATTTTCCCCGAACAGGTAGCCCTCCGGATGGGTGGAGTCAAACTTCTCCCCTCCCATGATGAAATGGTTGGCAAAGTAACTCCCTGCAGAATGAGGAAAGAAGGAATATATTTTAAAAATATATGAGATAAAAAAAATATTATTATTACAACCAGAAAACTCAAACTCATAAAAGCTAAAGAACAACTAAAGACATAAACTTAAATACAAGGCAAAAATGTAACCAAAGTCTTCCATAAAATGACACATTTTGTTAAAATAAAGCATAAAAACAGTAAAAACCTAAAAGCTGTAAGAGATTTTAATAAAAAAAAAAGAACCTAATATGAAGAAAATGGCTTCATTACAGTTTAAAAAAAAATTATACCAATTATATCCAATTGCAATAATTAGAAAATAAGATGTTTGGGGGAAAAAATTAAATTTTTTTACCAGCTAGAAACTTTTTCTGATGATAACAGAGATCCAAGGAGGACAACAAGAGGCTTTAATGGACGTGTTGCTTTTTAATGACAGGCAAGGCTAATATCATAAGACCATAATGGTGGTTCATGGTCTCAACACATGACATGCAGCGCGCCAGAGATGTTTCTGCCTGTGGAAAACCAAAATAGCTCCTTTGAATTATATTTCTGTCATACAATGACAGCCATTACCACACTGGAGAGAAAAAAAAATAGCTCCTCATCCTCATCACATTCTTTTTCTTATTATTTACAGCATGTGGGAAAAGTGGCCTTGTCACCAGTTCCCACAGACGGGAACTGGGGCTGATAGACTGGTTTGACTGGCTGCCGTGGAAACAGCATCCAACACATAAAATCTTCTATCTTTCAAGTGTTTTATTTAAATAATAAAATAATGCAACGCACTTATTGGTAAAATAACACTAGAAATATATCCCCTGATGTTTCCGACCTCTTTTTGGTAGAACGATCGTCTTACTTCATGTCTAATATAACCCTAGTTCTGAGGAGTAATATCTTGATGTGTTCCAACACAATCTCATTTTTGACACTAAAATAGGATTAATCCTAAATCAGGATGGGGAGCTTAGCGTGGTGGAGCTAAGAAGAAACAGACAGGGGATAAAAACTGAAGCAGAAAACAGCAGTAGCAGCTTTAGGTGCAGTTCAAATCGTCACAAGTTTGTTTTTGCTAAACAATGCTGCCCAAATAATATCCGTTGAACATTTTTATGTCACATTAGAAACACAATGATTGATGATGACACAATGATTTGCAGCTTTTCAGATTTAGAAAACTTTTTTTTGTTTTTTTTCTGAGCAGCCATTTTCACGTCTTACTGTAACTGATTTTTAATTGGAATTCAGCCTGAACTTTGTCTGGGCCAGGGTTAAATCAACTAATTTAAACTCCAGGCTTCTGGAGCTTGTGGTTTTCATCTGCTTCAACAGACCTAAAGCAAAGGTGTTGGTTAGCAGTAGGTCTTGTTTTAACTTGATTTAAACTCATTAGGCCAGAAATGCTTAAAAAACTACCTGCAACACACAATTCCCATAGACAGAAGTTGGACAACAATGATCTGAATCATTCCATTTTACGTCCTGTTGTATGTTCAGGGTTACCCACCTGGAAAAGATCTTCCATCCAACTCTTTTGCAAACATGGAGTCCTCCTGGGAAGCTCTGCATTTAACTCCTTAATCCTTAACTGAATTTAATCCTTAACTGAATTTCCCTTTTGTGATTTATAAAGTATTTTTGAATTGAATTTCAACATCCCTGTCATAGCTGAAGAAAAGCATCCCCCCCAGCATGATTCTCCCACCACCATGTTCCCACAATCAAGACTTTTGTATTTAGGCGGATGTGTTGAGGGTGAATTTCATATTTATTTCTATAGCATATTGAACA